TTCTTCCCACTCTATTATGTTGCCTCTACACATGGAAGCCAGGGTGGAAAGGACACTTGATTTGTAATCAAAGGACTGAAGTTTGAATCTCAGCTTTGCTATCACTCCCTCCATGATCCCGGGAAGGCCACTCTGCTTTTGCTAGATCTTAGTTTTCTAACTTCTGGGTTTAGGTTACATGACTTCTAGCTATAAAGTCCCTTCAGCTCTGGTGTTTCCTATTAAGAAAGACCATAGTCCATTACCTCTCTAGGTAAAAACGGTACAGCTTGTTCACTGTAGGGCAAAATATCTAAGCACAACTCGAGTGTGTGAATTCCTCTCACTATAGCGCTATTCTGACTTTGTCCCAACTTGGGGATTGGGGGAGGGCAGCAACAGAGGTAAGGTGAGTGGTTGGGGTTTCATTTTAAACAAAGTATGATAAATTTTAGCTGTTTGTCAATGCCTACAACACTACCACAATCTACTTACTTTTCCTCTCAAAGAAGGAAATCTAACTGTGACACAACCCAACTCCCAAGATTTCATCTATACTTCTTACTTCCCTTGATTGCCTTTATTTTTTCCTTATACATAGACATTGGATCAAAGATTTAGAGCTGAAAAGGAATTCAAAGGACATCCTAGTGCAACCTTTTCATTTTACAGATGAAGAAACTGAAGCCCATAGTAAGGTAATTACATGCCCACATTCACTCAGATAGTATCAGAGCCAGAATTCAAATCCAAGTCTTTTGACTCCAAATACAGGATTTTCCCCACAATATCACACAAGCCTCTGTCTTTCTCTACTTCAGTGAAAAACATTGCTTGCAAAAACTATGTAGTTAAATCAACATATTTTAGTGAGCCATATAACATGCCTAAAGCCTGCTGCAGGTAAAACTGTAAAAACAGGGTTTTCCATCATCCATATCTTCTTACCCAAATTCAATGCATCCTCATCTTCAGTACTCCCCACACTATTAGATTATTCAGTCATTTTTCGATGGTGTACAAACTCTTTGTGACCCCATTTGGGGTTTTCTTGGTAGGGATTCTGAAATGGTTTGCCTTTTCCTTCTAGCTCATTTGACAGATGAGAAAACTGAGGCAAACAGGTTGAGAGACTAACTGAGGGTCACACAGCTAGTAAATGTCTGGGGCCATATTTGAACTCAGGAAGATGAGTCTGACTCCAGGCCACATAATTTATCCACTGTGCTACCTAGCTATCCCTTTCCCCTACAATACTGCCCCTTAATCAGGGGCCAGTGCCTTGTAAGTATGGGTATGAGTGCAGTGGATAGGGTATGGGGCCTGGGAGGGCCTGAGTTCAAATCCAGCCTCAGACACTTATTATTTGTATAACCCTAGCCTAGGCAAATCAATTAATCTGTTTGCCTCAGCTTCCTCATGTGTTAAATGAGGATAATAATAGCTTCTACCTCCCAGGGTTGTTGAGAGGATCAAAAGAGATATTAATTGTAAAACACTTAGCACGGTGCCTGGCACGTAAGTGCTATGAAAATGTTAGCTATTACTATAGCTGAGCTCAGAGTCAAATGCCTTAGGCAGAGTTATTGCTTCTCCTATCAAAAATGGCCTATCCTAACTTTGCATAAGATTTCAAATGGGTCAATTGAGTTTGTTTAACATTTTTTCCTTTATTACAGGAAAGGTTTACTGGTGGGGTAAAAAGGTGAAAGATATATATTTGGAAGAAACTGTGATTAAAAACAAAAGAGCAATAAAACAAAAGTCTCCTTTATCCCAACCTCGCATTTTATCTCTATAGTCTATAGTTTACATGATATATTATATATAATTTATATTATATAACTTACATTATATAAAATCTATATATATAATTTATAGTCTTATAATCTCTAATAAAGGGGCAACTAGGTGACACAGTGGATAGAGTGCCAGGCCTGGAATCAGAAAGACCTGAGTTCAAATCCAACCTTAGACACTTACTAGCTGCGTGATCCTGGGCAAATCACTTAACCCTGTTTGTCTCAGTTTACTCATCTATAAAATGAACTGAAGAAGGAAAAGACAAAGCATTCCAGTATCTTTGTCAAGAAAACCCCAAATGGGGCTACAAAGAGTTGAATACAACTGAAAGACCAAATAGTAAAAAAATTCTCTAATAAACTAAACTAGGCTCAGTTGTCAGTGACTTAATATGTTTTCCCCTCACATTGGCATTCACACTTTTAAAAGAGGTTACTGCAGACAAATTTAAAAACTGTGAAGTCCAGTGAGGAAGATTTTAGAGGGGAGGTGATACATTCATCAGTACCCCTCAGATCAGATTGCATGGAGTCACAGTTTTTAGATCGGGGAGGCACCTTAGAGATCATGCAATCTGACAATGCCATTGTATGATAAGAAGCTGAGGCCCAGAACAGTGCAATGTCTAGTCTACAGTCAGATAGATACGTTACTAGCAAAACCAAGAACCAGATCCTCTGATTCCAAATTCAGTACACTTGCCATTAGGTAGGCAACCATCAATAAAGCCCTGAATAAATTTCTCTGTCAGATCTGACAATCAATGTTTTTATCACTAAGATCAGGCAGAAACACCAATTAATAGTAAAATTTCTGAGTGAGAGAAGAAAAAAATAAGCTGCAGAAATCTATACATGTCTGGCAAATAACAAACACCTTTCACACTCACAAAGCCCTGGCAGAGTGCAAAGAATGCCAGGCAATATTTGACAGCTTCAAAATACTTTCCAATAGCATTGAGGATAATCAAACCACATCACTGCAAAAGATGAAGAAATTGCTCCAAGTACCTGTCAAACATTCAAATACTTTCATTTGTCATGGTGTCAGCTACTGCACAGATTTCTCAATTTTTTCTTTCTTCATTTATATGCACAGCTTTTGTGGGTGTGCGTTCTTCATGCCCCAAACAAAGAGTAGAAATAGTTCTTTGAACTTATAAAGCATTTAGAGGTTTAACCAACATTAGCTCATTAGCTCTTAGCCCTATAGGTGGATAGGCAGTTGTTAAGACCAGCATTTTGACATAGGTTGACCAAAAAACAAAGATGCCTTCAAAAAAGTCATGGAGCAAGATTGAGCCAAGCCAGGAATAGATGTTTGTGTCCATCCAGACCACCATACCACATCAATATCTCTTTTACATGCTCAGATTCCCATTTACTGGTTTGCTCTCTATCTTCCCATTCCATTCAAAATGCCTCCTTGGTCTGAGGTCGGCAAAATCCTTTCATGAGGACATTCCTAAAGAAATTTTGAAAGAACAAGTACTGCAACCAGATTTCTTGCTGTTTGTTTCTCAGTACAAGATACTTTAACCAAGGAATAGAACCAGGCTTCCTCTCAATGGTGGAATTCCAACGGTCAGAACGGAATGGAGGCAGGGGTAAAGACAAGGAGAGAGGGGTAAATGGAGGGAGAGAGGGGGGTAAGGAGAGAAAGGGGGGGAGGAAAGAAGGATAGGGGAAGGGAAAGAGAAAGGGAAGGAGAGAGGCAAAGATTGAGAGACAAGGAAAGAGAAAGAGAGACAGACAGAGATAGACAGAGACAGAGAAAGAGAGAGGGTGAGGAGGGAGAGATTGGGGGTGGAGAGAGAGAGACAGAGAACAGGAGAGTCCCATAACCACATTGTTCATGCCACAGTTTCTTCCTGAAAATTTTATTTGCTTCTTTCTATGAGTTTCCCTGACTGGAAGAATATTGGCCTCAGGCAGTTAGGAAATATCATAATAAATCTCTGTGGCTAATTTTTGAATAACAAACTGAAAAAAATGGACTAGAGACTTGATCATACCTGACCCCGTTTTCCTCCACAAAGAGCCTTATGAAGCAGCCCAGTGTGTTACCCACACGTTTCTGTATGAGAAAACAGAGTAAGGATTCCACAATGCCCATTCGATGCATCTAGTCAGACCACAGATTTATTAATGCCTGTCTCCTAACTCTGTGGACAATATCGGGAGAAAAACTGTTTCAATGACCTCTACTTTGGTTGCCCAATACAAAACCTTGGAAGATACTCTAAAGTAAAGTGATTGACCACTTAGAAATCCTTTTTGCCTTTGGTTGAAACATAAGTTTCTCTCAGATAAAATACAAGTAGCATCAGTTCCCATTTACTGAGCAACCATGTAAAAGGGCAAGTGAAGAATGTTACTACCAGCTGAGACTGAAGGGTAAGAGGTTCCATGGGAAAGAGAGGTCAATGGGCAGAGAATGCTCGTGCTCGTCAAAAGAAGAGTTGAAAGACAACTGTATTTTCAGAATCTCTGTTTAAAGGAATTCAAAGACAGCCAGATCATCAGCACACCATCCTCTACTACCCTGGAGGCATCTCAGGTTTAATACCAATGCAAAGAGGCCTGCTACTTCTTACAACACCCCCACCACCAGCCGTACTGTGTGACATCTGGGTTTTCCCTAGAGTCTTGATTTGATCTGTCCTGACTCCCCTGATGATCTTCTGAAAGATGATGAGATCACAGATTGAGAAGCTCCTAGGGCTTCAAACTATAAATAATGTAAAAAACAGAACTCCTAATACATTAAAGAACACACACTGTCTTAGAACCATAGGAGAGTCCCACTGACATGCAGAAGGTAAAGTATAATAGCATTTAATCTATTCCTTTGACCAAAGTTCATTTCTAAAATTATATGTCATTCAAATGAGTTGCTAAGTGACTAATTGAATATTAATATTTATTTTAAAAAAACAATTTGTACCCACCTATCTTCTTTGTTTTCTCCCAAAAAAGGGGGTCTGGGGGGGACAGAGAGGCTATTTCATTAAACTACCACATCCCCCATGATTAGGAATAAATAATGCTTTTGAAGATTTGGGAAAACAAGTTTTTTTTTCATAATATCACTGCTCAGGCCCAGTGGGACATAAAAAACCCAGAAATGTTTTCAAATGTTATTTCTCAAACAATATGTGTAATTATTTACATGTTTTTCCTGCCTCCCCCAAAAAGAATAAAAAGATATGTTCTGACCTTGTAGAGCATGCGTCCTCCTTTTGCTGTCTCTCAGTCAGAGACACAGTGAGTCCCTAATCTTGATATAGACGGCAAAATCTGTCTCCACAGTAGATGATTCCTGTCAGTTACTCTTAACTCTTAGCATTATCTCAGTCCATGAAAAGGAAACTGGTGCTTATGTGTTATCCGGGGACGCTAAAGTGGTCAGTGGCAAAGGAAGAGACCTCCTCTTTTTTTTTCTTCTTTCAGTTACCTCCCAACAATTTCACTCCCTTCCTTTCTGGATTTGAATCATTTTGTCACTGCATGAAAAGGAAATAGAGTCTGAGGATAGAGCAGTGAGAGACCCTTGGAGTAGACATAGGAGACAAATAATCTGACCAGGCTTCCGCTTGGTTTGAAAGGATCAGAACTCTGAGGGGCGAGGCAAGAGAGCAGCCCAACAGGATGTGTGTGGCCAGAGTTCCTGGCATGGAGTCTAGGCTTTCATGTTTATTTTTGGGTATGTTTTTCTTAGCCTCTTGATGCAATTTTCTGGGCTAGGAAATAACCTTAAAAAAGCCCAAAGATGCTTAGGCATTTGCCATAGGAAGGAAGATGGCTTTTCAATCTATAGCTACTATATCCTCCAGCTTACATATCATGATACTGGCTCATATGTGAATACTGCAAGTGGACTACCTGTCAGCAATCAGGCTGATCAATCCTTGTCTATAAGTAGAAAAAATGCAGGACTTGTCTCATTCTTTTTCCTTGCATCCCAACTACTTAGCACAGTGCCAAGTACACAGCAGATGCTTAAAACGCATTGATTGATTGAAGGTCTACTACTAGCAATATAATTGTGAGGTTAGCGGCAATTGTCAAAAGCACATTAAACAAAACAATGAACCCCTCAAGTACTTTTGAAAAATTTCTTAGTTTAAGAATATGACTTTGAAAGATAGAGAAAGGTAACGGAACTAGTCCCTTTAAGGCAGGAGCAGATGTTTTTTAGAAACATAATTCCAAATGGATTGTTAAAGAGTGTTGGGGAAGACTAGACTCCTTTCCCTGAAGATTACTTTCTTTAACAAAAATTCCTTTTTGTATTAACTGCTTCAGGTTATCTGGGTTCAATCCCTGCCTCTGACACATACTGTATGTGTGACTCTGACCGTGTCACTTAACATCTCAGGTACCAGGGTAGCTAGGACTATAAATTGCAGGGAAGGTGCCAACCTATATTGATAATGGAAGTCCCTCACCAGGAGCTCCCTGTATTGATGAAATGACAGGTTTAAAAAAAAACCTAGTTTTAAAAAAAATCTAGTTTGAAAAAAATGTGTGTATGTATGTTTTCTGTAGCAAATGACTACTCATACAGCATTTTCAGACTTCTGTAAGGTTATTTATGTGTTTGTCATGTCACCAAGCATTTGTGCTTAAGTACTTATTATGTGCCAGACATTGTGCTAAGTATTGAGAAAATAAATACAACCTGTCCTCAAGAAGCTTACATTCTAATGGGGGAAGAAAACACATAAAAGGAATTTGAAAATCAATGGGGTTTGGATGGGAAGAAGGTACCCAAGTGGCGACATGGTGGACAGAAAAGTTTATTGAATCAGAAGTGGAGCCCGAAGAAGACTAGAGCAGATGTGACTGGCCTAGGCACTTTCTTTAAAATGGAGGTTCCTAGAGGAAATCGAAGAGGTAGGAGCTACAATGGTGGAGCAGTCTTCCAGGTGAGTGAGGCTGCTGTGGTACAGTCAAGAAAGAAATCCAGAAAGAGATGAAGGAATGTGTGTGTATGTGTGTGTGAGTGTGTGTGTATATGTGTGTGTTCATATGTAAACTTTAAAAGAATGTATCCATTTTAAAAGGGTACGTTATGGTAAAGGTTTCAGTGCTAATACTGCTCACCTATTCCTTTCTTCACTCAAAAAGCATTTTTCTGCTGTTGAGTCATTTCAGTCAGATCCGACTCTTTGTAACCCCATTTGGGGTACAAACGATGCTGGCAAAGATACTGGAGTGGTTTGCTTTTTCCTTCTCCAGCTTATTTGACTAATGAGGAAACAGATAAGCAAGGTTAAGTGACTTGCCCAGGGTCACATAGCTTGTGAGTGTCTGAGGCCAGATGTGAACTCAGGTCTTCCTGACTCCAGGCCCTGTGCTCTATCCACTGTGCCACTCAGCTGCCCCTACTAACTACATGGCGAACATTGTGCTAGGCACTGAGGATACAAAGAAAAAAATTCAACACATCTGCTCTCAAGAAGCTTACGTTCTATTAAGGGGTGCAGAACACTGACAAATTAAATTCTAAGTAATTTTTTTCTGGTCAGGGAGCAGCTCTAATGACTGAAAGGCCTCTAAAGGAGCTGGCATCTTGAGATAAACTTTGAAGAAATTAGGGATCCCAAACGATAATGGCAGGGAGAGAGGGCATTCCAGGCCTAGGTGACAGACTACACAGAGCCACAGAAGGAGAAGGTGGCATGTTTTGTACGTGGAACAAAAGCTAAGTCAATTTGACTGGACCATATATAGTGTGTGAAGGAATAAGTCTAGAGAGGGGGACAACTAGGTGGCACAGTGGATAGAGCACTGGCTCTGGAGTCAGGAGGATCTGAGTTCAAATGTGGCCTCAGATATATAATACTCACTAGCTGTGTTACTCTGGGCAAGTCACTTAACCCCATTGCCTAGCCAAAACAAAAAAAAATGTCTAGAAAGGAAAGCTGGGGCTGATCGTAGACGACTTAAAATGACAAATAGAAGAGCTTGTATCTTATCTTAAAGGCAATAGGGAACCATTGGAGCTTCTTGCATGGGGGAATGAAAACATCAAGCCTGTGCCTTAGGAGTACCAGTTGTCAGCTAGGATGGATGAATTAAAGAAGGGAGAATCCTCAGACAGGGCATCCAGTTAGGAGGCAAAAGCAATAGTAAGGTAAGAGTTGATGAGGGGCTAAATTAGGGGGATAGCCATGGAGTAAAATGAATGGGATGAATGTGAGAGATGTTGCTGAGGCAAAATTGGCAAGACTGGATAAAAGATTGGATATGAGGGATAAGGAGAGTGACGCATTGAGAATGGCTCTCAGGTTGTGAAAAATCAGACAGGATTCCTATATTCAAAGCACTGGGAGCATAAGACAAATAGATTTCTCCAAGGCCATAGACTCACTGCCATGTCATTGGATCCTTCATCAATTAAGACAGAAGAAGTTATATTTATTAGCTTCTCCCCATGACCAATTAAAAATAACCATGTTTATTAGTATGACAGTTACCTGAAATTGTCCTGGCTAAGAGGATAGAGTGCAGGGCCAGAAGACAGAAAGACTTGGATTGAAATCGCACTCTTGACCCTTACTGGTTGTGTGATCCTGAGCAAGTGACACTTTCTACCTACCTCAGGCAACTCTCTAGAACTTATCAATTAAATCAGAGACTAGCTAGTAAAAGGCATTCATGAAGCTTTCATGAGTATACATATGAATGGAAGCAGCATGATAATGGTGGAATAAGCATCAGTTTTACTGTGAAAAGACTCGCATTCAAGCCCATCTCTGACATTTACTATTTGTTTGACTTTAGGCAAGTCACTTAACCTCTTTAAGCCCCAATTTTCTCATCTGTAAAATTAAGGAGTAGACTTGATGACCTAGCAGATCCCTTCTAAATATGTAATTCTGTTAAACATATTTTCTCACCTCCTTCCCCTGTGTCCATTCAAAAAATGGACCAGATCTGAGAATTTGTGAAATACTTTTCAATTTTCGTTCAATTAGCCTTGTTTTATATAGTCTTTTATTGTATAAATAAAATTAGTAGCACTCAGGACCTCTCCAACATGCCCTTCTCACACACTTTTTCCCCCCAATCAGGAACTGTCATCTATTTGTCTCTATCAATAAGTATAATAAAATAAATATTCTCACGTGATACAAATTATCCTTTTCACTTCTTTACTAACCTTTCCTGTTCCCTGACTCTCTGCTAATGAAAATTGGCTTCCCTTATCTTTTTCCTCATTTCAGATCCCAATTTATAGTCCTATTTGGGGGCATTAGGCAACCTTACTTTAAGGTCAGGTCACCTTTTCTTAGCTTAAGTGAATTGTGGCCATTTATTCTGCATTAGTCAATAATACTTTACTCCTTTCACTCATCTTTGATATTAATACTTATTAAAATATATAACAGGGGCAGGAAACATCTCATTTTCAATACTACCACAGAAAAAGCAGGACATGGTAGCCAGGCCCTTGAATTACATGTTGAAAATTAATATTAAAAGCCACTGCATACCATTTTCAGTTCTTGAGACAATAAGAATTTAAACTCAGTGAAACCAGTAGCACTTTACACCATCAGTAAGGAAGTTAAATGACAAAGTGCTGAAGTTAAGTATAGGCTTGGGAGTCTTAAACCAGTTATTAATATTTGATCCAAGATTATGGGTATTTTTGATTAATGGTAGCTCTTGATATATAAATATAAAAGTGATTCATTGTCTAATTCTATAAAATCCCTTCCAATACGTGTGGAGCAGGGTGGTTTTTCAATGGACAAGAAATCAGGGTTTCTTTGCTCTCTTCCTGACTTACTGTCCAACATTAGGCCTTTAAGTGGCCTGAGAGCTCATAAGATACTTTTTTGGAGTGTGTTAGGAGCTTCATACGTACTGTATACATGAAACTAAAAGCAAGAATCAGCACACCAAGTGCAGGATCAGCAAGACATATTGACAAAGACCCATAAAGAGTGAGCAAGAAAATTATCTTTTGTATTGTCTGAGATGCATTTAGATCAAAATGTCTTGGCTCTGTTCTAACATGAATGAGCTAAAATTGAGGAACTGTTTATCAATGTGTTAATTCTGTGTGCTCTGATTCTGCCAAAGAACCTTCTTCATGTACCACAAATTTGAAATTCTCGTAAGATCTAAGTATCCTTAGAAATCTAAATTTTTTGGAAATAAAAAAGCAATAAAAAGGCAACCATGAGGTCTTCTTTTTTTAAAAAAGGCAATATTTAAAATTTGATGTCTAAGCCTCTGTAACACAAGAGCAGACATTCTACATGTAATTGTCCCCTAAAACCTCAAAATGACAGAATTTCAGAGTAGCATGGGGCATTTGTGGCTGAATCAATGCATACATGAAAAAGAATCTCCTCTGGCAAAAAGTCATGGAGCCCATGGACAACCTTAATACTTCTGCTAATACTCGTCCTATACAAAAGACAGCAATCAAATCTTCTCCCTGCCCCCAAAGTCTTCTCTTCTCTAGGTTAAACATCCCTACTTCCTTCAAC